AGAGAGACACAAAGTGAGGTGGGGGAGAGGGGCAGAGAGAGAGAGAGGGAGACACAGAATCCAAAGCAGGCTCCAGGCTCTGAGCTGTCAGCACGGAGCCCGACGCGGGGCTCGAACCCACAAACCATGAGATCATGACCTGAGCCGAAGTCTGACCCTTAACCGACTGAGCTCAGCCAGGTGCCCCTTGAGGGTTATATTTATCAAATTTTTAAAATAATTTTTTAGGGGCGCCTGGGTGGCGCAGTCGGTTAAGCGTCCGACTTCAGCCAGGTCACGATCTCGCGGTCTGTGAGTTCGAGCCCCGCGTCGGGCTCTGGGCTGATGGCTCAGAGCCTGGAGCCTGTTTCCGATTCTGTGCCTCCCTTTCTCTCTGCCCCTCCCCCGTTCATGCTCTGTCTCTCTCTGTCCCAACAATAAATAAACGTTGAAAAAAAAAATTAAAAAAAAAATAATAATTTTTTAAAAGTTATTTATTTATTTATTTATTTTTGAGAGTGACAGAGACAGCACGAGTGGGAGAGGCGCAGAGAGAGGAGAGAGAAAAAGAATCCCAAGCAGGCTCCACACTGCCAGCGCAGAACCTGATGCAGGGCTCAAACCCACAAACCATGAGATCGTGACCTGAGCTGAAACCAAGAGTCAGACGCTTAACCAGCTGAGCCACCCAGGCACCCCTATCAAATTTTTAAAGGCACATTCCCTTTTACTCAGAAATTCCACTTCTAACAAGCTTTCTTTATAATAACAAAAGATGGCAAAAAACCTAAATGTTTATTAATAAACAGCTTATCAATAAACTGGCAAAAAAACCAGTGTATTCCTACAATACATATTCTGCTGCCACAAAAAAGAATAAGCAAGTTCTTTAGTGGTATGGAATGATCTTCAACATCTATTGTTAAATGAGGAGCATCTGATGGCTCAGTTGGTTGAGTGTCCAGTTCTTGATTTCAGCTTAGGTCATGTTCCTGGGGTTGTGGGATCGGGCCCAACTCTGGCTCCACGCTGAGCATGGGGTGCCTGTTTGGGATTCTCTCTCTCTCTCTCTCTCCTTCTGCCCTTCTCCCCCACCCTCTCTCTCTCCAAAATTAAAAAAAAAAAAGTTGGGGGGGGTGCCTGGGTGGCTCAGTTGGTTAAGCATTCAACTTCAGCTCAGGTCAGGATTTCAGGGTTCATGAGTTTGAATCCTGCATCAGGCTCTGTGCTGACAGCTCAGAGCTGGAGCCTGCTTCAGATTTTGTGTCTCCCCCCTCTCAGCTCCTCCCCAACTTACGCTCTGTCTCTCAAAAATGAGTAAACATTTTTTTAAAAAAATTTAAGAAGAGGGGGACTCCTGGGTGGTTTAGTCAGTTGAGCAACCAGCTCTTGATTACAGGTCAGGTCATGATCTCACAGTTTGTGAGATCAAGCCCCTTGTTGGGCTCTGCACTGAAAGTGCAGAGCCTGCTTAGGATTCTATCTCTCTCCCTCTGTCTCTGCCCCTCCCCTTCTCATGCTCTCTCTCTCTCTCAAAATAAATAAATAAACATGAAAAAAATTTCAAAAAAGGTCTATTCTTAAGTGAAAAAGCAAAGTCCTAAACAATGTGTATTGCATACAAACATTCCCGTAAGAAGTGATGGTAGTAATATATATATATATACATTGCTTACATATGCAAAAATTATCCCTGGAAGAATTTAAAAGAAACTAATATCATCAATTGATTGCTGCTAGGAAGGACAACTGGATAGCAGGAGGGAGACTTTTCATAATATAGTCTTTTGTACCTTTTGATTAAAAAAAATGTTTATTTATTTTGAGAGAAAGAGAAAGAGCATGCGTGAGGGGGAGAGGGGCAGAGAGAGACAGAGAGTAGGAGAGAGAGAGAATCCCAAACAGGCCCCACACTGTCAGCACAGAGCCTGATTTGAGGCTCGATCTCACAAACCATGAGATCATGAACTGAGCTGAAATCAAGAGTCGTATGCTTAACCGACTGAGCTACCCAGGCACCCCTGTGCCTTTTGATTTTTTAGTCATGAGGATATATTATCTATTCTAAAAGTAAGTAAGATTTTAAAGATAATTTTTAAAAATATATTCAAAAGATAATCATTGGGAGGCACTTATTTATTTTACAAGTAAAATAATTTTTTACAATGAAGAATGACTTTATTGATGTCGCTAATTTTAAGAGATTCTGACAGTCTTTTATTCTTGTTGAGTAAATTAGAACTAGATCAGTAATGGGGCACCTGGGTGGCTGAGTCAGTTAAGGATCCAACTTCAGCTCAGATCATGATATCGCGGTTGGTGGGTTCGAGCCCCATGTTGGGCTCTGTGCTCACAGCTCAGAGCCTAGAGCCTGCTTCAGATTCTGTGTCTCCTCTCTCTCTGCCCCTCTCCTGCTTGTGCTCTGTTTCTGTCTCTCAAAAATAAACAAACATTGGAAAAAATTTTAAAAAAAGAATTAGATCAGTCATTACTCATTGTAAGTGGTGAATATCATTGTTTGGTTTATCAACCTCTTTTGGCAAACAGTTTATAACTTTAAATGAACAAATATCATTTTCTGAAACAAACATTCTGACAAATGTAGTTTCCTATGACAATTCATAATCCCAAGGTTACAAATCGAGATTCTTTGAAGTGATTAAAATAACCTTTGATATTATTGGGGAAACCCTGCTCCTTTTGATAAACATAGAAACTCAACTTTATGAGGCAAGATTAAGTGTAGCTTTAGCTTAAATTCAAAGAAAAATGGTACATAATTGTACACTATTCTTTCTTCTTACCTATGTGAACAGAAGTTAATGGTTAAATCAGTGTTTTGTCCTCTCAGAAACACTTGTACCCTTAAAAAATTTTTACTTTGAGCTTGTGGCCTTTGGTCTCAATCTAACTATAATCAAGTCTGAATCTAAGGTATTCAGGGCTTGTGAAAATTTATTTATCCAGAAAGTCAATTGTTTACAGAATGTGGAATTCCTTCATATTCTTGAATGATAGCTGTCATTATTGTAAAGAGAATATCAATTTGTTCCATTTTGCTTTAGAAGTTAGAGCTACAGGAGCACCTGGGTGGCTCAGTCGATTAAGCATCCAACTTTGGCTCAGGTCACAATCTCAATCTCACCATTCCCAAGTTCGAGCCGCACGTCAGGCTCTGTACTGACAGCTCAGAGCCTGGAGCCTGTTTCAGATTCTCTTTCTCCTTTGCTCTCTCTGCCCCTCTGCCACTCATGCTCTCTCTCTCTCTCTCTCTCTCTCTCTCTCTCTCTCTCTCAAAAATAAATAAACATTAACCATTTTTTTTTTAAGAGAGAAGTTAGAACTAGAGGTAAATGGGATGACAAACTACAGGAAAGATTTCAGTTCAACAATAGGAAGAACATTCGAAAAGCAAGAACTATCCCACATGGAATGGGCTACTTGTGAGGTAGTAAACTCCTGATCACCAAAGATGTGGAAAAAGCAGCTGATTGACAGAACATTGGAGGTGGATAGACAGGAGTTCTATGATTCGTTTAGAAATGGACTGGATTGCTCAGATTCCTTCCAATTCTTTTTCTTTTTTTTTTTTTTTTAACATTTGTTCATTTTTGAGAGTGAGAGAGGCAGGGCGTGAGTGGGAGAGGGGCAGGAAGAGGGAGACATAGAATCCAAAGCAGGCTCCAGGCTGTCAGCACAGGTCCCGATGCAGGGCTCAAACCCACCGACTGCAAGATCATGACCTGAGCTGAAGTCGGACGCTTAGCCAACTGACCCACCCAGACGTCCCAGGTTCCTTCTAATTCTAAAAGTGATTCAAGAAAGCTGAAGGGGAAAAGGGGAAAACAAAGGATTAGGAATTTCAGTTCAACTCACTGATTTCAGGGCAGGATTTCCTGTTATTTTTAATATTCAGTGCCCTGAATCTCTAAGGGAGGGGACCATTCTAAAGGTCTTCTGTCTTTTGTATTACGTTGGATAATGAAAAAGGCTCCCAGTTAAAAATAAACAAGCTTCTCTTTAACAATCTGGCAAAGGGGAAACCAACTGATTGAGGATGATGACATTTAAATTGGCTTCTCCTGAGTGTGAGGTGCCGAGCTGCATTCCAACCACTCAGAACCTAAGACTCAGGGCAGAAGTTCCCAATAAGCATTACCTGTTAGGAAAGTCCACCCTGGTTGGTGGCCAGCTACTCTCTGTGTAGAGCTAAGCAGTACCAAAGGGATTTTTTCAGGGCTGAAAGTAGCAATCCATATGCTAACTCTCACAATCCCTCGCTAAGTCACAGCAGTTTTTTAAAAAGCAGTTTATCAGCAACCCTCATTTTTTTTTTTTTTTTGAGAGAGAGAGAGAGAGAAAGAGAGAGCATGTGCACAAGTTGGGGAGGGGCAGAGAGACGGGGGGGGGGCAGATCTGAAGTGGGCTCCATGCTGACACCAAAGAGCCCCATGTGGGGCTCGAACTCACAAACCACAAGATCATGACCTGAGCCAAAGTTAGATGCTTAAATAACTGAGCCAGCCACCAGGCACCCTGCTACCCTCACATGTAATCCTTGTAACAATCCCCTGGAGCTGATAGAAGGGGCTGTTATCTATATGATAGATGGGAAAACACAGGCTCAGAGACAGGAAACCTCCCAAGTCAGCCATGAAAGAGCTAAATCTGAGCCCAGAGCTCATTCCACTACCTCACAGCTTTGGAGAGGATTGGAATTTCTCTGTAGGATAGGAAAGACCATGTGAACAGAAGGTCTGTCTAATGAGGAATTAGTTACTATAAGGTATCTTAAACTTTAGGGTCTATTAGAATCATCTGGAGCACTGGTTAAAGCAGATTGCTAGGTCCCTCCCCCAGAGTTTTTGATCCATTATGTCTGGGTTGGGGTTCAAGATTTTATATGACTAGCATATTCCTAGGAGATGCTGATGATGCTAGTCCAGGAAGACACTGGGAGAGTCACTCTTACTCTATCCTTCCTTTCCACTGTCTTCTTTCAGATTCCCAAAGGCAAATGAGGATGATTTGAGCAGAAAAACAGAAGGATTTTACACCTTTCTTGCCTGCTGCTGAGATAAGTGTGCTGTCTCAGGATGAGACTGAAGAGCACTATGCCAGTAGTCAAAGGATGGAATTCAAGGCCCTAGCTGTGACACTAGGGAGGTGAGATGTAATGCCTTTAAGATCACTTAGATCCCTGAGATGCTGAGGCCTTAGGCAAATCTTTCCTCTCTCTCTCTGGAGCCCTTTGATCAGGATTGTAAAATGTCCTGAGGGGTTGTGTGGTCAGGTGGGGTGACCTCCAAGGTCTCTGCCAGTTGTAACATTCTGACTCTATACTTATTCAGCTCGAATCTTGATTTCTCTAGGTGCCCACGCCTCCAAGGTGGACAGAGTAGCTGATATTTAACATAAGCCACAGGAGCTCTGAGAAATCATAAAGTGCATGAGAAATCCTCTTCACGTGATGGCTCTGAGACCTCATGGGGGAGCTGATGAGAACTCCGGACTGTGAAATTAGAAATTATGTCTCCAGAGAGGAGAAATGTGGGTTAAAAATCAATTAAATATCTTCTTGTTCTGTCTTAATTAAAAAGAAACAACCAACAGAGGGTTTTGTACAGAAAGGAAACAAACTCTTCAGACCTATTAGTGATAGAAAACAAGCCTTTTTATGTAACTAATCAGGCTAAGGCAGAGGTCTCCAGTAAGAGTACATTTTTACCATGTTCTGTCTTTTAATGTAGGTTGCAAGTCTTTTCTGTATTTTCCCAACTTTTAATGTAAATAGATAGGGGTAACTCCTAAAGCTTGTAAAATACGTTTCAGAGAGCTGCATAAAGGCACGAAACACGTTTACTGTGAGAAAGAGCATTATGTTAAAACCTTGGATTGCGAGTAACTTGTTCTGCGAGTGTTCCACAAGATGAGCAAACATTTCTAATACATTTTAACTTGATAAACGAGCAATGTCTTACAATATGAGTACTCTGTGACGCCAAATGTCACATGATGACAACTGAACCAAAAGTTCTTGAAATTCACTTTGATATACAAGTGCCTTGGATTCCAGGCATGTTTCTGGAACAAATTATGCTTGCAAACCAAGGTGTTACTGGTACTTTGAAAAACATGCCTGCTATTATTCACTTAATTTATAAATGACCTCTCTAGTGTTTTCCTTTTCCCTTCTTTATTCCCCAACACATAGTGAAACCTCTGGGAGTAGAAAGCAGTTAGGCAGTTCAGGCTTCTTTTACTCCCCTGAAGTTGTTGGTTTTGGAATTAAGGTGTCTTTAGCTGTTTCTAATTCAAACATCAAGGTGAAACATATTCCATAGAACAAGGAATCAGAGCCCTAAGATGCAAAGCTTAAGGAGGGGAGAGAAGAGCTTCCCAAACTTCTGCTGTGGAGGGTAGGGAGAAGTATGTGCCCAAGGTTGATATAGAAATGACCATCAGGTGAAGCATCCAAGTGCCAAGGCCACACTTAAATCAATTGTTTCAAGTTGGTATCTCTCCTTCATTGCTCTTATCAACTAAACACATTCATAGAAGAGCTTGGCATCTGACCCAGTCTTCACTCTATTGCAGTAATTGTCAAAGGGTAGTTACCAGACCGCTTGTTAGAAATGCAAATTCTCAGGCCACCAAGACAACTAAATCAGAAACTCTGGGTGTAGGGCCCAGAAATATGTGTTTTAAAAAGCTTTCTAATGGATTCTGATCCACACTAAAGTTTGAGAGCTACCGGGCTATTGCAATCCTATAAGTTGAGTGACTTCAATATTCAGCTCAATGACCATTCAGCTCTCTAGCCTCTTGCTCCCTGACATTCTCAATTCTAATGACTCTCCCTTTCACTGCAGTCACCCATTCGCGTGGCTGCATCCTGGACCTTGACAGACTCAAAAGTCCTTCATATCTGAAGTCTGAAAACATCCTACACACACATTACAATCCCTTTATCTTTGTACAGTTTGTGCTTTGAATGGTAACAAATTCCTTGAGGACTTCATGTAGACACGGAGAGGTCAGCCCTATATTCTGATGAGCCCAAAAATCTTCTCCTGAATCTTTCTCCCAAGCTTCAGACCTCCACATCCAATGCCAAATGCAGACTTCACCTGGGTATCCCACTGGCGTCTCATAGCAATGGTCCAAAAATTAACTCCCTATCTTTCCCCCAAATTTGTTCCCCTTCTTGTGCTCCCTATCTCAGAGGCGGATGCCCACAGATGAGTTTTTAAGGGTGACCCAGGAGTCATCCTTTTTTTTTAATTTTTAGAAAAATTCTTAAGTTTATTTTTGAGAGAGTAACAGAATGTGAGAGGGGGAAGGGCAGAGAGAGAGGGAGACACAGAATCAGAAGCAGGCTCCAGGCTCCAGGCTGTCAGCACAGAGCCCGACACAGGGCTGGAACCCACCAACTGTGAGATCATCACCTGAGCCAAGGTTGGACACTTAACCAAATGAGCCACCCAGGCACCCCAGCAGTCATCCTTGACACCTTCCTCTCTTTCACCCCCTACAGCCAAAAGGTCAACCAAATCTCGCCAATTTTACCTCTTGGAGGTCATAAGTTATTCATTTATTCTTCAATAAATACTGAGTCTTGCAAAGCCCTTTCAGACCAGGAATCCTATGGGTAATTCCCTCAAATCTGTTCTTCCTTCCTTTCTTCTTCACATCCCTAGCACCGGTGCCTATGTTTTAGTCGCAATATTCCTTCTCTAGGCCAGTGGTTCTCAATCCTGACTTCACATTAGAATCACATAGGAAGCTTTCAGAACTATAAGGCCTTGCTCCAGTATCCAGATAATCTAATTTAATGGGACTGGGCTGGGACTCCAGAAACAGTGTGTGTGTGTTTGTTTGTTTGTTTGTTTGTTTTAAGGGGAGTTTTACATTTATAGCAAAACTGAGAGGAAAGTACAGAGATTTCTGTTTAAACTTTTTTTTAACGTTTATTTATTTTTGAGACAGAGAGAGACAGAGCATGAACAGGGGAGGGGCAGAGAGAGAGGGAGACACAGAATCTGAAACAGGCTGCAGGCTCTGAGCGGTCAGCACAGAGCCGGACGCGGGGCTCAAACTCACGGACCGCGAGATCATGACCTGAGCTGAAGTCAGGTGCTTAGCCGACTAAGCCACCCAGGTGCCCCAAGTACAGAGATTTCTAAAATACTGCCTACCTCCACACATGCTAGTCTCCCCCATTATCAAAATCCCACACCAGATGTACCAGAGTGGTACATTTGTCACAACTGATGAACCTACATTGACACATCATAATCACCTGAAGTCCATAGTTTACGTTAGAGTCCATTCTTGATGTTATTCATTCTATGGGTTTGGACAAATGTATAATGACATATATGCACCATTATATTATCATACAGAATAGTTTCACTGCTTTAAAAATCTTGTGCTCTGCCTATTCATCACTCCTTCCCCTGAAACCCCTGACAAACCTGATCTTTTTACTGTCCCCATAGTTTTGCCTTTTCCAGAATGTCATACAGCTGGAATTATATAGTATGTGGCTTTTTCAGGTTGGCTTCTTTCACTTGGTAGAAGTTATAAGCATTTAAGATTTCTCCATGACTTTTCATGCTCATTTATTTTTAGTGCTAAATAATATTCCATTGTCTGGATGTCCCACGAAACCTAGAGTTTTTCATTTTAAGCACCTTAGATGATTCTAAGGCAAAATCAGTTGTCAACTTTATCCTTTGGCATCTTCCAAAAGAACTTTGATAAACTATGGTTCTCCTCACACATTTTAAATTTGACATCTATATTTTTATTAGCAGTTTAATAATTGCTTTCCAAACATTCTTGCTTTGCTCTTCTGGGACTCTCCCTCAGAAGCCTGGAATAATCAAATCAATGAGTTTTAAGGGTGACCTAGGTGTCATCTTTGACACCTTCCTCTCCCTTACCCCTTACAGTCAAGAAATTGTCCAAATCCCATCAGGTTTACCTCTTAGGGCATCATAAATTGGTGGTCCAGACATTTTTATCCCCAGGGCAATACTCTTACAGTAATATTCAGCATAGGTGAGAAGTATATCTTTCCTTTAAAGGTGAAAGAGACATTGTTGTGAAAGAGAAGAAATAAAAGGCACATTATCAGGCAGATTAATTTTAGGGGAGAGTGTATACATAAAAGTTGTGGATGTAGAAATTTTTCATGCTTTGTACCCCACTGGAAAGTCTTCATGAACTTCCAGGGGTGTGGGTTCTCTGTTTGAAGGTTGCTGCTTAAATCATTTCAGTCGCCTCACTGGCCACTCTTCCACCCATGTTTTCTTTAGATATACAATTCACATGCCATAAAATTCACCCTCTTAAAGTGCACAATTCAGGGGCACCTGGCTGGCTCAGTTGAGAAGAACATGTGACTTTGATCTTGGGGTACTGGGTTTGAGCCCCACACTAGGTGTAGATATTACTAAAAAAAAAAACTTAAAAACAAACAATAGATGAAGTGTACAATTCAGTGTTGTTTTTTTTTTTTTTTTTAGTGAATTCACATAATTATGCAATCATCATCAGTAGTTTCAGAGACCTGTACCCAACAACAGTCATTCCTTCCTACCCCCAGGCCCTGAAAATCACTAATCTCTGTCCTGTCTCTATGAATTTGGCTATTCTGGACATTTCATATAAATGGTATCTTATAATATGTATCCTTCTCTCTCTGGCTTTTTCCACCTAACATTATGTTTTCAAGGCTCACCTATGTTGTAACATGTATCAGGACCTCATTCCTTTTCATAGTTGAATAATATTCCATGGTATGGAAGTACCATAATTTGTTTATCCATTCATTAGTTGATGTACACTTGGGTGATTTTCATTTTTTGGCTATTATGAATGATACTGTTATGAACATGCATGTAAAAGGTTTTATGTAAATGCATGTCTTCATTTCTTTTGGGTATATGCCTAGGAGTAGAATTGCTGGGTTAATTTTGATGAACTGCCAAACTGTTTTCCAAAGAAGCTGCACCATTTTACATTCCTACTAGGAATATATGAAAGTTCCAATTTCTCCATATTCTCACCAACATTTGTTATTGTCCAGCTTTAAATTTTTTTTTAAGTTTATTTATTTAGTTTGAGAGAGAGAGACAGCACAAGGGGGGAGAGTCAGAGAGAGAAGGAGAGACAGAATCCCAAGCAGGCCCTGCAACATCAGTGCAGAGCCCAATGTGGGGCTTGAACTCACGAACTATGAGATCATGACCTGAGCCTAGATCAAGAGTTGGACGCTTAACTGACTGTGCCATCCAGGTGCCCCCATATTTTTTATTATAGGCATCCTAGTAGGTGTGAAATAGTATCTTGTTATGATTTGAACTTGCATTTCCCTAATGACTAATGAGGTTGAGCATCTTTTCATGAGCTTAAAACTTGTTTCCAGTCTTTTTTTAATATATAAAAATGTGTGTGTGTGTGTGTGTGTGTGTGTGTGTGTGTGTGTGTGCGAGCGCGCACATGCTCACGCTTTGGTGCTTGTTTTTAGAGAGAGAGTGTGAGTGGGAAAGAGGAGCAGAGGGAGAGAGAGAGAGAGCATCTTAAGCGACACAGGGTTTGATCCCACAACCCTGGGATCATGACATGAGCCAAAATTAAGAGTCAGATGCTCAATTGATTGAGCCACCCAGGCACCCCTGTCTCTAGTCTTAAATCTCTAGTTCAACCCCCTTTTGCTACCAAATTATTTTTCTAAA